TAACCCCAGGGTGCCACCTGTAACCCCAGGGCACGACCTGTAACTCCAGGATGCCACATATAATCCCAGGGTGCCACCTGTAACCCCAGGGCACCACCTATAACCCCAGGGTGCCATCTATAACCCCAGGGCACCACCTGTAACTCCAGGATGCCACATATAACCCCAGGGTGCCATCTATAACCCCACGGTGCCACCTGTAACTCCAGGATGCCACCTATAACCCTAGGGTGCCATCTATAACCCCAGGGCCACCTGTAACTCCAGGATGCCACCTGTAACCCAAGGGTGCCACCTTAACCCCAGGGTGCCACCTTAACCCCAGGGTGCCACCTGTAACCCCAGGGTGCCACCTTAACCCCAGGGTGCCACCTATAACCCCAGGGTGCCACCTGTAACTCCAAGATGCCACCTATAACCCCAGGGTGCCACCTATAACCCCAGGGTGCCATCTATAACCCCAAGGTGCCACCTGTAACTCCAGGATGCCACCTGTAACCCCAGGGTGCCACCTGTAACTCCAGGATGCCACCTGTAACCCCAGGGTGCCACCTGTAACTCCAGGATGCCACCTGTAACCCCAGGGTGCCACCTTAACCCCAGGGTGCCACCTATAACCCCAGGGTGCCACCTATAACCCCAGGGTGCCACCTATAACCCTAGGGTGCCACCTGTAACCCCAGAGCGCCACCTGTAACCCCAGGGCACCACCTGTAAACCTAGAGCGCCACCTGTAACCACCCATGTATTCTGTTTCACCCTCTGCCGACAGGAGCCGAGGTTGGTGTCAGCTCAGCGTCCGGCACAGGGCAGCTGTGAGGGACGTCCGCCCCTCCCGGCCTCTTACCATCATGTGCTCTCCGCAGAAGATGATCCAGAAGGACAGAAGCATGGCGTAGAAGATGCCCTGTCGGATGTCAGCAAACAGCAGCGTCCAGGTCCACTCAAACCCGATGGAAAACCACTCCACCGGGATATTGATAAAGGTCATGGAAATGCCAAGGGCAAAGATGACTCTGACGGGGAGAAAATACCAGGAAAGCCACTTTATCATCTGGGAGACAGAGCTTCAGAAAATCCTCAGTTTGGAGAATGGAGATGTTATCACTGGGGGTGAAGCTATGTCATGAATTTCTCGCTTACATCCTAGTACGTTTCCACACAGAGACACAAAATGTGCCATTTAGTTGGAGGATAAAGACGCCTCACATTGTCCACATCTGAACCTGACCTCCTGAGGCCACTTTCTTTACTTTGGTGCCACCTCACACGAAGACCTTCTGATCATGTGTCGCTTGATTTTCTCAAGGAAACCTCAGTGAGTATAAATGTCTCCTCTTACTCAGGTTATCATCAACCTTACCACTGCAAACACGCGTTACTGGGGCACCCTCAGCAAGGAGGAGTTATATAAGAACGTTCGTTTCAATAATAAATGACTCCAAACACATTTGAAATGTAAATTCTTTTAGTTGCTTATTCAGCTTTTATCTTACTTTGCCCCATTACACTCCTCACTTCCACTTCTCTGTTAAAATCCCGGGGTTTTTTTGAGATAGATGAGGCATCTCACTCTGTCACCCTGGGTATAGCACTGTGGCATCATCATGGCTCACTCTATTTTTAGGAGAGATCGGGTCTTACTCGTGCTTAGGCTGGTTTCAAAGAGCTCCTGAGCTCTGGCAATCCACCCACATTGGCCTCCCCGAGTGCTGGCATTACGGGTGTGAGCCACCATGCCCAGCCTTTAAAATATCATTTTCGTGCCACTGACGAAGCCCTAATTTCCCCCACATCTGTGGAAAACATATGTTCTTTAAGCACAGGCCACGTGCTAGACACTGATAGGGCCACAGACACTGAAATGAACAGGATGGGTTCTGTCGCCCATGGAGATGCACTTAGGGGAAGAGTCACACAAAGGGACAGTTTGAGTAGAGTCTGATAAGCACCGTCGCACGAGCCCAAAAGCAGGGAAGGTTGCTGCTGTGCTCTGGCTTTCACGGAGGCCGAAACTGAGCTGAACTGGGAGCTGCACCTACGCAGGTGGGAAGGGTGTTCTGAGCAAGGGCAGAGCCTGGATGGGGGCACAGAGGCCAGCAAGTATATTCAGGGATCTGCATGGAGCACATCTTGGGAAACACAGGACGTGAGACTGGAGACGTAAATAAGGGCTGGACTCGAGAAGAACGTGCCTCTGCCATCAGAGAATTTAGAATTTATCTTGAAGAAACTGTGAACTGACACGACCCATTCATTCATTCATTCCACAGACATTTATTAAGCTCCTACTATGTGCAGTCACTGTGTGGTGCTGGGGAGTGACAGGGGTGAGGGGCAGGACAGGGAAAGGTAACAAATGTTATGGAGAACAGTAATACTAGGCCAGAGAATGGAGAGTGACAAGGTGTGACTTTACAGAAGATGGACAGGAAAAAGCCTCTAAGATATGAGATACTAGAACAAGGACTGAAGGAAATGAGAAATTGAGCCACAAAGACATCTGGGAAAAACATGTCAGATGACGAGAAGAGAAGTGCGAAGGCCCTGGGGTGGGGACGTGCAAAGGCCCTGGGGTGGGGACAGGCCAGATGTGTCTGAACACTGGCCAGATGTGTTTGAGGATTGTCCAGGGACTGGTGGGCGGCAGAGAGGACAGGAGATAAGATCTGAGGTCACTAAGGGTGGGGACATGCAGCCTTCTGAGTTCAGGTTTGTCTTTTTTTAAGTGCCAAAGGAAGCCAGAAAAGCTTCAGCTTTCTCTGCTATGCCCTTTTTTTAGCAAAGGGATTTGTTATATAAAACTTGGATTCAGTCAAAGGCCACACTCAAGGACCAGGAAGACCATGTGTCTCCTTAAGGCTGCAGGTCCCCCACCTGGAGGCCACAGCAAAGCAAAGAGACGCACAGAGAGAGCTGGGAGCAGTGACAGGCCTGATTGGCACCCGAGAGCAGGCACTCAGCTGCCCTGTGAACAGACTGTGGGAACAGGACGGGAGCGGGGAGGGCAGCTGAGAGGCTGTTTCAGTAACCCAGGTGGGAACCCGTGGTGGGTTACTTAGGGGAGTGGGTGGCAGTAAAGACAGTGAGACTTCCTGGTGGGGGGAGGGGTATGGAAAAGGAGGAGTCAGGTGACGCCTGCATTTTCAGCCTGCACCAGGCAGGACGGAGGTGCCCTTATTACAGTGGGGCGCTGGGAGGGAACAGGTTTGAGGGGAGGAAGTCCGGGGCTGCTCTTTGTCCATGTTACGTCCATTTTAGATGCAACTGAAGACATGAAGTAAACAGCTGGAATATTCGGGTCTCGGGCTGGGAGAGGCTGAGGCTGGAGACACAGATGAAGAGTCAGGGAGGGCGGATGAGCTTTAAGACCATGAGGCTCAGTGAGGGCCCCCAGGGAAGAGGCCCCCAGCCTGATCCTGGGCTCTGGAAAGGCGGAAGGGAGCTGGGCTGGAGACTGGCGAGGTCAGCAAAGGGCAGTGCCAAGAGGGGACAGAGGACTCTCCAGGACGAGAAAGTCCAAGGCTGGTGACAGTCAGGACAGAGGACCGAAAAGCACCCTCTGGATTGGAGTGGGACGGTCCTCGATGACCCTGTGAAGACCAGGTCTACTGGCACTATGGGAAGAACCCAGGCTAGAATGGACTCGAGCAAGAACAGAGGAGAAGACCTGTGGACAAGACTTTTGAGAAGTCTCGCTGTAAAAAGAGGAGCAGAAAGAGGGTGTGCGGTGGAAATGGGAGAGTTTTGTCTAGAACCTGAGACAGTATAGCAGGTCTATACTGCTGTACAGTATGTCAATGGAAGTGCGCAGCAGGAAGGGAGAGTCCGTGCTGCGGAGGGAGGGCTGTGTCTGCGGAACAGTCTTCTGGAAGCCAGACGGGGTGGCTTCATCAGCAGCAGGGCAGCCCCACCACCCCC